AGCCGAGCACGTTACCGCTAGGATAACGCGTTATTATAATAATAAAATTTCATTAGGGGTATATATATTGCAAAAGTATTGTTTTAAAAAATTGCTAATTTTTCAATTTCACTGGATATCTTCTCGATTTCCAAATATTTAGTTTTTAAACGATATTTCCCTTAATTAGCCATTAAAAAAAAAAAAATAGCAATTATTTAAAAAAAAAAAATGAACAATGCCGGGATTGAACCCGGGCCGCTGGCGTGCCAGTCGAGCACGTTACCACTAGGACAACGCGCTCCTTTACAAATATAAATTCATTAGTGGTATATATTCAACAAATTGAATAATTTTTTCCATTGAAATTCCACAAGATGTGGTTTCCCCCTTCCGTACATTCTACAGGCGGTTAAATTCCAGTTAAACAAACAAAAAAAAAAGCATTCATGCCGCAGAAAATAAAATTCACCCTGTCGACGTGATGGACACCCCCATTCCGTGTAGCGCCCTCCCTCTCGGGGGGTGCAGTACTACGATGCAGCTGGGGTCAGTCAAACCCCCAGTGCTGAGCTTCTACTTCAGTCAACCCTCCTTGGATCAGCTGATCGCAGCATCTCGCTATCTACGAGATCAAGGAAGATTATTGTCCGGAAAAAATAATTAACGTCTCGTTGTTGATAATTTATCCTCGAGATAGAATTTAGAAGGAGAGGTCAGTGACATCTGTCATTCGATCGGGTGGTTAAATCTGAGGGTAAATAAATAATTGATAAGGTCCATTGCCCTTAGGCTAGAGTTAAGTCTAAGGGCGGAAAAACTGAAATCAGACGGAAAATCGAGACTCCAGAGGAAATTTATGAATTATTTAATTTGTAACTGCAGCTGGGAGTTTGCGCTGTTGACAGTTGGATGCAGCTGTCGCAGCTGCAGTGAAAGACTTCGATACATCGACAATCGAGTCGAATCGATTTTTTTTGTCGAAAAAATCGACTCAGGGAATATCGATTCTTTTTCACTCCTAGGGATGAAAAGATAAATAAATTGAAATTAATCGAAAAATCGAGTAATCGGATAATCGAGATATCGAGATATCGAGATTAAAAATATCGATATCGAATTTTCCAAAAAATGACAATTTCAATTCGTCATCAAATTCCATGAATATTAAATCGAAAAAAAAATCGACTAATCGACGAATCGATATCATATCGCTCAACACTACAGTAGCGTCACAAACTCGAATGCACGAGTGTACAAGGCCGTAACTGAGCTCGTAACACTCTCACTCCGAGGGTCTCTCCGATCACTCGGTTTTAAACAAGGGTGGGTCTAGTCGGCTTCGTGGGAGGGGTCTCCAACCACATCAATCCCAAACCCAAAAAACTTGACGATTAAAATACCCGAAGAAAATCACCACAAAAAACCCAAAGAAAAATTTCCAAAAGTGAATAATCACACTCGGTGATCTCTCGTACAAGCGACAAGCCGCTGGATTAAAAAAAAAACATCAGAAAAGTGTGTGCACGAGGAAGTGGCCGAGTGTTCTCTGGAGGAATCATCTGGAACTCGATGATTATTCGATCGACTTGGAGATTACGGAGCTGATCAGCTCGTTGTGAATGTCAAATATTGGCGTTGTCCTGATACTCTCCCTGTTCTTTTTATTTCTTTTATTTTTATTTTTTCCCCCTTCTGTTTCGGCTCCCCATATAAAACGAGTCGATCCCCCCATGTTTTAGTGTCGCTTGATGGCTGCTGTCGTACCAAAGGGTGGGGGAATACAAGCCTTGTCCACCTAATATTCACTACAGAAAATTATATGCGGGAATATGTCGAGCTTGAAAATTGGTAAGAATCATCAATAATATCATAATCACAAAAAAAACACTCAATATATCACACCTACGAATCAATTGGCACGAAATCTTGTGTAAAATATCTTGGCTATCCCCATGCAAACCCCAAAAAATTTATACAAAAATATAGGGGAGAGCAGGGTAATGGGGATGTTTTCATTTTAATTAGTGCTGTAGGAATTAAGACTGTCTTATAATTAGTTTTTGATATTCGTATGTCGTATATTTATATGTAGTTTTGTCGATGTGGAATTTGTGGTTACGAATTGAATTCAGAATTTGTCAGAACGATTTGAAAATTCTTTTTTGAAATAGGAATTCATTTTAGTCGAGTACTTTAATGCATGTTCTGCATGATTTCTGAGACAGGAAAGTCAAGGGAATTTTTGTTGTGATTTTTTTTTTTGTAGAGATTTCGTGAGGAGAGATTGATTTTTATTTCGGCTATTGATTCCTGGATTGAGGAGACATTTTTATTCAAGAGATAGAGGATTTTTTATTTTCAAATTCTGATGTTGACTGGAGAAATTGGGCTCAAGAGGTGCCACAGGAAATTCAACATCTGCTAGCTTTTCCTCTTAGAAAATGTCTAGTGGAGCCTGTGAAAAAGGAAAATATAAGAGAACTCATTAATATTCTTGTGGAAACTTAATTTATTATTCGGAAACCTTTGGACTTCGTGAGGAATTCCCACAGAATTTTTAAAATCAATATTTTATCAACTCGTATTAATATTCCATTCAAACATTAATTCCCTTTCCACATTTCTGCATTCCAAAAAACTTGTCCACTCGACAGAAAAACGTCAACATTAAACATTAATTAACTAATTACAAACTTTCCAATGCAATTATCATAATGAGAATTCCTCAATTCCGAAATAAATTCCCGATGGAAAGCCCTAGATTTTTCAAGATAAATTAGTCTTCAGTTGATTGAAACAAAAAATAATGATGAGACACTAATTATCACAAGTAATTTCGATTTGTCTGTCCCAAAGTGTCGGCTGCACTTGAAACAATGAGGGACGATGGAGTTATTGATAAATTAAATATAAAAATTATTATTGAGTTAAATTAAATGAAAATAAAATAGGGAGAATGCCTGCTGCACTGCCGACAACACAAGCAGATTTGAGATTCATTCGAGTAGTTCGTGAGTAGCAGTTTTGTCGCTCTCTCGGCCCAGTCTCGGACATAAATATCTTAATATTTGCACATGGCAGCCATGAAGCATGGTACGTTTTTTTTTATTTTATTATTTTTCCGTACAACAGCTTTTTCGCTTTTAATGTCCCTAAATTCTCTGGTGTTGTTAAAACCACTGATTAAATTAACAAATCATTTTTACCACCTCCACGAGAATTGTAAATTAAATAGCAATTGTTCAATGAATTTTTATTTCTCTTATCTCTCAGGTACGGAATTTATTAAACATAATTACTGCATGAAATTATTTGTAAATAGGAAAAAAAAAGATTTCTGGAAAATTCATACATGAAAAATCCAATTGATTACTGATTAATAAAAGTAAATTAAATTGCAGTTGCAATTACAATTATCGCATGAATTATTTTGTAAATACAAATAATATTTAAATAATTTATTACAACCGAGAGATTTCCAAATGAATTAAGAACGCATTGAATTGAATTGAATTGAACATTTGATGATAAAAAATTGATTGAACCAGGCAAGACGAACCAGGACGACGTGTGCTACGTTGTCGCCAAATACGATTACAACGCCCAGGGTGCCCAGGAGTTGGATCTCCGTAAAAATGAGCGCTACCTCCTGCTGGATGATTCGAAACACTGGTGGAGAGTGCAAAGTGCACGTGGCCAAGCTGGATACGTGCCAAGTAATTACGTTAAGAAGGAAAAACCGTCCCTGTTCGACAGCATAAAGAAAAAAGTGAAAAAGGGATCGGGCTCGAAAACCCTTCCCTCAGGTAATTCACCATCACGAGCTGTTGAATCACCAATAATGGCACGTAGATTACCAGCTGATCCGAGTGAAGCCATTGGTACAGCTGTCGTTAAGTACAATTATCAAGCACAACAGGCCGATGAATTGTCACTGGTAAAGGGCACACGCATTCTCATCCTCGAGAAGAGCAATGATGGATGGTGGAGAGGACAGAGTGGCAATCAGGCTGGATGGTTTCCATCTAATTATACACAGGAGGAAGGTGATGCTGATGATACACTTCACACTTATGCTATGGCTGAAAATGTTCTTGATATCGTCGTTGCGCTGTACTCTTTCTCATCGAATAATGATCAGGAGCTGTCATTTGAGAAAGGTGACAGGCTTGAGATACTCGATCGTCCACCAGCTGATCCTGAATGGTATAAAGCTAGAAATGGACAGGGACAGATTGGTCTTGTGCCTAGAAATTATTTACAGGAGTTGAGTGAATATTTGACTCAACCCTATCGTGATCGGGGTATGACGAGTAGTGAAATAAGCACTGGTGATTCGTTAGAGCGGAGGCCAGATCCTGGGGACAGACCTCATCTTGTGGGTAAACCCTGGTATTATGGGAGTATCACCAGATCACAGTGCGATAATCTACTCAATCAGCATGGACATGATGGAGATTTTCTTATTAGAGACAGTGAAACCAATGTGAGTTCCTTTTTCATCACCATTTTATTCCAACGATAATTATTATTTAATTATTCATTGTTTATTTTTAAATGATAAATTGATTAATCATTCGTGCATTAATTTTTGGAGAAGACAAAGAGAATTTCAATTTTGTTGTGAGTAATTGTTATTTATTGTAGATTTCCTCATGATTCATTGTTTAATTTGCAGATGGGTGATTACTCAGTCTCTCTTAAAGCACCTGGTCGCAATAAACACTTCAGGGTGCATGTGGAAGGTGCTCTGTATTGTATTGGACAAAGAAAATTCCACACACTCGATCAACTAGTTGATCATTACCAACGTGCACCAATTTACACTAACAAGCAGGGTGAAAAATTGTACTTGGTGCGTCCCCTGCCAAAAGGTAATTCCAATAGCAATGGTTGCTAAGATGTCAAGTGGAGAATAATCTCATGGCAGAATAAGAAACCCGGGCAGCCTAGTAATTATTCAATATCAATCTCGTACATTTATACTTACAGCGTTTTTCAATCTGCGAATTATTCCAAAGATATCAATTAATTCCCATCGTCGAACGAAAACTATTTTCCAATTATGACACCACGATGAACCCTCAATTAGACAAATGAATATTATTTAAAAATTCAAGGGCCTCTATTCATTTTTTATTTATATATTTCTGCGATAATTCTCAGAGTGAAAAACGGTAATAACAATTAACACAATTGGAGTTAAAGAAAAAACGAAACCTCATATATTAGTGTTTTTCATTCATTTTGTCAATTTAACTGCTAATTAATTTATTACACTAAGTAATACTGCAATGATCCGTTGGAGCTTCCAACCAATTTTTTAGATAAAAAATTAATACCAGAAAAGCTAAAAAAAAAAGGTTTTATATGATGAAATGAAAAGACAGATAAAAATGAAGCTATGGCAGCTGATAGCCCTTCCCCATGATAGTTGGCACGATTGCTTCTTCTATCACTCTTTTTTATATCAATGTAATTGTACTACAGTGACACGACTGATCATGTTATTACTATAATATATTGAGAAGAAAAAAAAACAACAACTACACGTAATCTAGCCTGCAAGTGTATCAATTAATCAATTAATGCAGATACCGTGTATTTATATACGAATCGATTGGGATCCATCGACAATTGAATAGTAAAGAAAAAAATTACGACAAGAAAATGAAACAAAGACTACGTGTCCATTTGTGATTTTGTATTTATTAGATGCAATTTTTCAAGTGAATAAATCATATTTAAGTGTGAGCGATTTTTTTCGGGATTTTTTTTTTTTGTATTTTTTATTATTTTGTTCTTTTTTTTTGAGAGAATAAAATGACTCATTATTTAGTAACAAATATTAATTTCTTTATTTAACGTGTATAATAGTTTCATAAATAAGTTCACTTCAGGTTTTCTCTTCGTTTATGCGAATGAAAAGTTAAAAGTTAAGGCCGAAGGAATAAGAGAGTGCTTTTTTTTAAAAAAAAGTAAAACGTTAATGGCATTCTGCCGATAAAAGTCATGTCAAACTATTTTTTTTTTTGTCAAGTCTCTTCTCCTAATCTACGAATATATGATTTAAAAATTTGATGGATCTTTTTTTTTTGTCTGCTTAGCAGTAATTTTGTTCATTAGCTCACTCGATAATTTTTTCTCGTTTCTAATCATAAAAACGGATTGTTCGAAGTTCTGGCCGGATTTCCCACACCAGTGCCCACCTACAAACAAAAATTATTTAAGTATTTTAGATTTGCTGTGAATGTGTGGAGGTTGTGAATGGAGTGAATGTAAATTATCACCATGAAAGGGTTTGCCTGATAAGCGGTAACTGTCGGAAGCCAGACTTTTCCGGGGAGTGGAGTCATCATTTGACTAGATGGATGTACCTCCGTGGTATTTTGAGATCCAAAGGATATCCATTGAGATTCTGCAACAATTTTTACCAACAATGAGTTTATAATAAATAAAAACCAAAATAGCAAAGGGAAAAGTTTTATAATAATTCCATAATCTGAATAAATATGAGATCAATATTTCTGATGAATTCGAAATCGCGAAGAGAGAACGATTTCCGATTCCCTGCCACTAGATTTTTATCAATTAGGTAATTATGTAAGAACGCGACATTTCCCGACGCTTTTTTCCTCAAAAACTGTTAATTTAAAAAATTACCCCGGGGCTTTGATTATTTTATACCGACAATTCATTAATCTGAATAAAAATGAATGAATAAATAAACAGAAAATATTTCCCTCAAAATTCTCAATCCCCAAAATAATTCCTCACTTATCAATTATTTTTATAATCGATTAATTACCCAAAAATTTCAAAAGTCATGAGAAAAAAAAAATTGAAATAGAAAACATTAGCTCACCATTGTTAACAGGGAATTGCGTTTGTCTAAATGGATTTGCAGTACTGCAAATGGTATTGTCAACAGATTGCATATTATTATTGTTCATGGCATGTAGCGATGGTCGCCACGTGTCAGCTGCTGTGAATGGATTTGAAATAACGTAGCTCTGATCATTGCCCCAGAGACCTGGAGATAATAAATAAATGACACGTGTTAGATTATAATTGAACGTTTCCTCTTCACACGATATCTCGTTGGCTAAAACGATAACACTCATTGATAAATATTTACTATTCGAGTTATTCCACGATGGGGCTGTCACAGCTGATCCTTCATCCTTCAATTGTGTTTTTTTCATCATCGAATCGAGATCCTTCAGGGCTGCGTATCGATCCTCAGACGGCGGTGCATTTATTCCATTGAAATTCGACATCGTTTTTCCACTTTGACTGAATGTCGCTGACAATTCCGCATCTGAAAATTCAATTAAAATTACACTTTCCCATTGAATCCCTGGGAAAAATGCGCCTTAAAAACTTTAAAAGAAATTTATTCCATTCAAATGGTTTTACAATCGTGGGATTTTTTTTTGTCTATTGTCTTTTAAAAATGAAATGAAAAATGATTGCAAATAAATTTATTTACACGTACAAAATGAAGAGAAAAATTCAGAATATTCCTAGAATTCTGGTAATTCCATCGGTTTTTTGTATTTATAATTGATCATTGAGATATTCAAGAGGAAATAGTTATCTTGAAAAATTATTATTATTCATGAGTAATTATTTAATTTATTATTTCTAGTCATCTCCATAAATTAAGACCCAAACATTAAACGACGAGCATAAATATCTGCACGGATTAAACTGAATCATCAAACCAGTAAAACAAAGACGAATTGAAGTTTAAAAATATTCATGATAAATTATTCATTCCCGAGACAGGAAAAATCGTTCCACTCGTAAAATGATTTCGTTCCACAACTCGACTTAAAAGTTTAAAATTGAGATAAAAACAGTTCAAAAATGTCCCCTAAAGCCCCAGAAATTGAATAAAACGAAAATTCACAGAAAAAAAACGCCAGTAAAATCCCAACAAGCGAATACAAAAAAAAAGAAATAAACTCTTCCTCTTTCTCTTCCTACAGTACACGTCATTATCACCGATAATGATCTCCAATGAGCGTTGACTAATAGTTTCCAAGAACATGATAATTATCGACTCACTCTGTGTTGAATCAAAGGCTGGATTATTATCAAAATTAGCGAAGGACGGCTGTTCAATGGGTTGAGAGAAACGATTTGACGATATAAATGAGTCCTGGGCTCGACTGAAGTCAGCAAAATCCGCAGTAAAATTATCAGCAGTCTCACTATTTTTCTTCTTTCCATTTGGTGTACATAAAACTGGCAATGTACCAACAATAGGCACTCTCGGTATACTCTGATTAGTTCTTCCTCCAGTATATTTTTTAGCATTTGATCTCTGCAATGTGGTTGAATTCTGGGATCCATTACCATCCGGATAATTATTTATATTTTTTTTTTCGTGTGATAATTTATCCACAAACTGTCGACTCACCGGTTGGGGGGAATTATCACTGGCCATTGACGGATCCAAGTAGTATCTCTTCAACTCGTACTTTGCTGTCATCAGATCCTTCATCTTCTGCTCGTCTTTAGTGTCTAGGGTTGGCTGATTGTTCGCATTCACCAGACCCAACCATATTCTTCTGCAGTGCTCGTTTCCTCTTTCTTTCATGAATTCTATCTCGTCTTGGGTAAATGTTGCCATCGATATCGATTTCACTCGGTGCGGAGGTGTCAAACCCCTTCTGCAATTTTTTATTATCTCGTCACTCAATATTTATTATTATTATTCAATCTACACAGATTCCTTTAAACAATTGCAAACGGAATTTATAAATTTGAAAATCGAAATTCATTGCGGAGTTTAATTTAGATTTCATTGAATTCCCAATAAAATTTCAGATTTCCGATTTTTTTTCCGTGAAAATCGATTTCAGGTCTTGAAAATTTCGAGTTGTAAAACAAAAATAATTTCTGTTTATTTAATTCACGCGTTAAACAAATTGGTTTGTCGTAGGATTTAAAATGAAATCTTGAGTAAATATTTCAGGGTTTAAGTTGTCTCAAGTATATTTACTCATCCGATATTTTTTTCACTGTGGGCCGAAGAGAAAGTCAGGCTAATGTCCATATAAAACAAAGGAAAGAGGAAATAAATTACAAAAACATTAAAATTTCGTGTGTCTTCCCAAGAAAACGTCAAAGAACCTTTCCAAATAAAATTCATTCGTGAATATATGACTTAAAAAATCGACGCGAAAAACGAAAAAGTAATAAATAATTATTTGAGGATTTTTTCTCTTTTTCTTCTCTCATTTTTTATGGAGTTAAAATTTTTCATTTTATTTTTAAATCTCTAGAAGCTCGAGTAGATTTCAAATAAAAATCAGGAAAGTACTTAACATCAATGAAATAAGAAAAATGCATCATGCGACATTAATAACCGCCTTATCAAAAGGGTGAGAAGGTTCATGGATAGCAACTTCTGATGCAACGAAATTGCGCCAGCATCATTAACTGAAAATAGAATCCGTCGAAATATCAAAGAAGACGTAAGCATTTCCGACCCAAACATTTCCCCCAAAAAAAATCTGTTGCAACAATATCCAAATTAAAACAATAAAAAATTTCCGTACCACCAAATAATGACGTACGTCAAATAATGCAAAAACAATTCACGTGCAACTCCAAATAATTCATCCCCAGAAAAACAAACGTTAAAAAAAAATTTATTGCAGCGTAAACCAAGTCCTGCATATGGAACACCAAAATTAATTACGTGTATCGTGGGATAAAAAGGCAGGTGAAGAATAAAAATGAAATGACTAAGGAAGTATGACGAATTTTCTTGTTCTCCTGTTCCTCGAACTGATTATCGCCTGGTAAATCCAAACACGCGACATTGTAGAGAGCAATTCGATATGGAAGTGCACTTGGAAGTAAAGAAAAATAATTAATCGTCTCGGATAATTGACAGTCTTGATATTAATGGGAGATTAATTAGTCAATTGACATTTTTGGGGTGACAATGAGGTAGAGGTAACGGATTTTTTTTCTCCAGATGAAAATCTGTCTTATGTAAATGATTTTGGTACTCACAGCATCCCAGAGCATGATGTACACACGAATGAACCAATTGTCATGTTTACGTACGTTGGTCCACGCTGTCTACAATCGAAACACTCTTTATTATTAACTTGTGACACCAGTTCACGTAAAATTTTTAGATGCTTCTCGTCCTGCTTTCTCTTCGCCGACGCCATCATTCAGTCGCCTTCTCGCTTCCTACAACGGGGACAAACGTTTTTTTTTCTCTCTCTCTCTCTTCTTTTTTTCTTTTGCTTCCTCTACCACTCCTTTTTTTTATTTTCTGGGAGTGGAGGCAGGAGGTGCTGTCGCTACTGCTGCGCTCGCACGACTGACGAGTGGAAATTCCGAAAGACTCGGATTTGTCGTCGGGGGTTCCCAAAGTCATCGGGATTTTTCGGGATTTTTCGTCGTGGTTTTTTGGGGATTGATGCTGTTCGGGATTTTTTGGAGGGTTTTGGCGGTTTTGTTTTTTGGGAATTTCGGGGTCCCGGGGGTTTTCGGAATTTGGGGTTCGCAAAGACAACGATTTTGGCGCGAACATTTGAATGGTGGATTTTTTGGGGGTTTCACAATGTTTTGGAATTTTTTTGGGGGTGGATTTTTGGGGTTGATTTTTTGGAAAAACAAATGGAAAGATAAATGAGATCGCTGGAGAGCGGAATCAATTATTTTCATTAAAAAATTCATAAAAATCCGCCGTGAGCCCGCGCAGGCGCCCAAAGGCGGAGTCATCTTGACGCCTTTGAGAACGTTGAGAGGCAACATTGGGAGGGGGTGGCAGCAAGATTGCGGTACTAGTGTGGGAGGTGCAAGTCAGGACAGGCGCGATTGTCACTCGATCAATCGAATTCAGGTGGTCGTGTTTGTAATTTTCCTTCGCGACAAAAAAATAATCATTAACCCAGTGTTTATCTCAATAATTCAGCACCCGTGATTCCCGAAAATCGTTAAATACCCCGATTGATATAAATTCAGAAAATTCGCCAGTGTAACGCAGACGTCTCTCAAAATGACGGTCATCACCAAAGCCATTCTGGAGAAGAAGCCAGCAGATAAAATGGAGCAGCCATTGGTTGTGGTCGACGAATCGACGGTTTGTTCATACCCCAAAATTATAAACACTCCCATAAATTCACCAGAAAAAAGAGATTATAAGAATTTTCCAATCCCCCTTCAACACCGGAGCCAATGGACTGGTCGACAATTTTTTTTTCGTCGAACTGCTTCATAATATTTTGATTTTGATACTTATAAATACACAATCGTGTGAACTTGCCCTCGACAACAGCGAATAACAACCGGGGATTTTCCTTCCTCCTCTCTGTTTTTCTTTTTTCTTTTCTCCATCGAAGCTCGATTCATTTACATTCGTAACAGGAATGGCGTATTAAATCGTGTCACATTACTCGGAGAAAAACTGAATTTCAAAGAAGTTATCCTTCTCGAAATAAATTATTTGTTCAATATTATTAAACAATTTTTTTTGTTGTAAATACATGAGATATCTGAAAATTATTACAAAAATTTTTCGTTACAGAAAATCATTATTATTTTGGCTCCTGCTTATTATTATTATTATTATCATTATTGTATTTTGGAATTGAAGGAAAATGGATTATTTATGGTTGTGACTTGAATTTTAATTGGAATTATCATTAGGCAATGATTTTTTAAATAATTCTCCAGAGAGGACTCCGAATTTATTCGTTTATGTAGACATAAAATTCAAAAATGAAGGCGATGTATCACGTCGTGATAACTGGGCGTTGCGTAGATAAGAGAGTCTCACGTTTCTCCACTGCATTTCCATGTTTATTTGTACCAATCGTCAGCGGTTTTTTGAGATAAAAAAAAAATGATGAATAATCCAACGATAAACGAATAAACGACTTCTGGTTTTTCCGTTTTCCCAGCAATCCTAATGAAATTATGAAAAATTTTGTAGGACCTTTTTTGCTGGTCTCAATGACTTCTGGAAAAATGGTTATTACAACAATTGGGCTGTTTGCCCTAGTTTCCCTGATATTTCGAAAAAAGTAAATAATTACTGTTTGAACAATAAATTTAGGAGAACAAACGAGATCCGGAGGCTCAACGCCCCCACCGAGACATGGCCGGACATTATCTGATTCTCCGCAGGATCAGGCCAAATCTTGGTCCGAATTCAATGACTCTCTATTGTCTTCTATTCACTGCACTACTTGGCATGAGCATCGGAGTAATCGGTGGCGTTTATATTTACAAGCGTTACGCAAGGGATCAGGTTCACAGATTCAGGACTGGCTGGTACAGCATTCCTTACGAGAGAATGGACAACAAATACCCATTGTTGAGTGATGCATTGGCTGCTGGTATACCCCCAGACAGCGATCTCTTCAAAACTCTGGCACGTGACACTGAAAGGGAGGCACTGGTACTCGAGAAATCAGCTGACAGCAACATCAGAAATTTCTTCCAGGAGAGCTTCGACATCGATCTCGAGAATGAACATTACGAGGGAATTGATGTACCTGATTTCAGGGGTGGACGACAGGGACGATTCATTCATGATTTCAACATTGTACGTTATTTCAATTTTTTTTAATCTGATTTTCTGATTGATTAATTGGTCAAATATTTTGGGAATTAATTCCTAATCGTAAATAATTCAGGAATTCCTTTTTATGAATACTTCGTAGGTAATATTGTTCGAAGGTAATTGAGAACGACGAATTCCTGAGGAAAATGGCCGTTGAGTACGAGTTAAGCCTCGAAATAAATCAGGCACTCCGTGCCAAGTTGCCAGGAATTTACCTCAATTTATGAAGCATGACAGCTCCATTTATCTCCAATGAGTTTCGAAAATGGAGTTTACGTGCAATTGCAACATAAAATATTCTAAAAAAAGAGATTTATCGCGAGATCAAAATGATTTCATAAAAAATTTTAACATTCACAACGATAAAAAATAAATAGAATAATCTGTCATCATTACAGAACCTCACAGGCATCATCGACCTTGACGGCCACTCCTGCTTCGTCATGCCATTGAATCGACAGAGAGTTCTGCCCCCGAAGAACATGTACGATCTTCTCAACAAAATGTACAACGGTATGGTGAATCGAATGAGCAACTTCTTCGGCGGATAATAAAATTTTCTATTTTATTCAACAGGATACTACGAGGTTAACACTGAGGTAGTCAGGGAGACCATGAAGGCAACATTCCCATCGATCAGTGATCGATCATCAGTGGGTACTTACATCGCTCGAGAGTGCAAGCAGATGCCCATCTATCAGCTGGAAAAAATCAACAACACCAACAATGGTAATTGAAACAATCAATCCCTTCAAAATAAAACGAAAAATTCAATCGATAATTACAATGATTATTGATAATTATAAAATATTTATTCCATTTTCTCTAGGAATTGTCAAACGCAGTGTTGACGGTGTCCTATTTGGTCAATTCGCTGGGAATAATATCGTCGAGTACGATATTTCAAACATGGAAGAAGTCCAGAAAGCAGCTGAAGTAAATTAATCGATTAACAAACGCGTTAAAAAATAATTATCTTAAAAAACTGACAGAATCACTCAGTAGACGTAATATACACTCACCCCCTCCCAATCATCGAACAAATTTTTATTAAATCATGGTGATAAAGTTCAATAGTATCTGCAGGACTGGAATAATCTGAGAGCTAGGAGGATTTTTTAGATCAAGGGATTGAGTCAATTTTCTTTTGAATTTCCTTCAGCGTTAGATGTTTTTTGATATCCTGAAATCATTGTTAATCAATTCGTGAATGGATCACCGATTTCGTGGGTTTTAAAAATTATTTTATGAGTTTATTCTGTAGCACTGGAAATTCAGCGAGTGCCAGCCTGACAGAACGATCTAATCATAATAAATGTAACGATTTAATTTGGATGTTTTATTTTTAGTCTCAATCATTGAGAATATATCAGGATCGTAAAAATAGATATCTGAGGCCAAAGTCAATGGGTAAAGATGGTATTGAAAAAATTTCCAAGGCTGACAATGAACCCAAGTAGATGTCATAATTTTATTTAATGAGAAATGAAAATATACGTAAGATAATCGTGTGTAACAAACGTGTTTTGTATCTCTTTCATTGTATATATTGCTTTGAATACGTAATTGCGTAATCAATAATCGATTAATTGAATAATTTGGAAATGCAGCACACGTAATACTCATTCCATTAGCATTTTTCTATACAATTGTGTTTAGTTTTAATTAGTTGAGGCAACTATGCATTAGATATTGTACTTTGGTCACTTATATTCATTAGAAAGGATTATTCGAATACGAATTTATCAATGTCTAAGCGATAACGCTGTAAGAGTGGTAAAATAAAGAAAATATTAATGTTAAAAAAATTTCTATTTCTCGTTATTTTTGGACAATTCAGTTAATAATTTATTACGTCGAGGAGATTTCTGCTATTGCTTTCTGTCGAAGGTTGAATAATTTCTTCACCCATCTGTCGAATCGAACCTCTTGGTCCATCATAATCTGAAAAACCATTTTATGGAATTTTCAAATGAAATTTATTTGAAAAATATATTTAACGTGAGATAATGCGATTCAACATTTTTGAAAAATATGCAAAATAATATTCAAAGATTATTTATTTAACATGCACTCACAGAAGTATGGAAAATACTCTCATTAATGGTCGAACTAGTTTTCACAGCTGCAGGTACTTGAATTGTGTCGGCAGTTATGTCAATCACAATATTTTTGTTTGCTTTCTTCTCTTTGCTGTGAGCTGATGACGTAAACTGTTTTTGTGTGAAGCCCGATGCATTGATTTCATCCAAAACGCTCTCATTTATTCTTGGCTCGATAGTGAACTCATCTGCAAGTGAAAAACGAAAGGAAAAATCTGTGAATGATTTTTTAACATCATGTACTCCCCTGATTTCTACCTTTGGTTAGAATATTAATATTTTTCTCAGCTGATGATTTGACGCACGACTGAGAACTGCTCGAACGACTAGTCGATTTTTCCCTCGATACAGATCTCGTTTTTTTTTTTATTCTCTCTGGTGATTTGTGTCTGTGTCTCTCTCGGTCTTTGGAATTCCCTCGGGAGGATTTGTAACTCTTCGAGGATCTCTGATTGTCTCGACTTTTCGATCGAGAACGTCGATGTCTTCGAGATTTCGAATATTTCGATGAACGTTTTCGATACGATGAGCTGTCACTCGAGTCTGAACTGCTGGACCTAAAACAAATCATTTAAATAAATAACAGAAATTATTTATGAGTGTCAAATAATTTTTCTGGTGATACAACAAATTATTTTAATTACCTCGATCTTCTGTAATGTTTCTTCCGATATTTTCCACTTCGATCTGAATCCGAGTCACTGGAGTATCTCGCCATGTCTCAGGCTAATTGTCAGTTGAACAATTGGTCACCTGAATCACCTGAATCATTATTTACAGGTTATGATGTTCAAAATAAAATTGAATTAATAAACTCATCTGCAGGTAGATGTCCCCCTCTGCCCTTTTAATCGACAATTCAACTCCGGAACTTTGGGATTCCCTCGGCAGATGCTGCTGCTGATTTTTTTAAATCCGTTTTTGTCATGGCGGAAATAAAAAATCGACGGTTCCGTTAATCGATTTTATCGCTCTATTTATCCTTTTTCGTACGTCGCAAACGGATTTCAAATGGAATTTCAAGTGAAAGAGGTAATTAAATGCATAAATAGAGAAGAAATTTGATTCTCAAATTTTCACCATTTTCTGAATTTTCCAAATTTTCGTACACGTCGAGGTGGATGGTGAATTTTTTGAGATATTTCGAGATCGATTGCCCTTCTCATTTTTATATTAGAATCAGAACTCTGAGGAAGTTCTCATGAATAAATTCCTGACAAAGTTTCTCCCTTTTTCAAGCTCCAAAACATTCAAATTCACCCCAAAGAAGAGAATTACCCCGAGTTTGTGTGTCTCTGGTGCACAAAACTAATTCTCTTTGTAAATGCACCAGTCCGTGATCCTTGGCCACGAGAAGTAAAAGCCTTTCATCCGAAAAACCACAAAGAACTTGGTCCCCTGAAAATCTAAATAAAAGATCATGCCTGGGGATGGATCAAAAGAGGAAAGAAGAAATGTTAATTTTTCATTTTATCACGTCACTAATACCTCATTAAAAATAAATTCCATGGGAGTTACGCCTTTATGTCATCACCGCAGCTTTTCTCTTTAATATCAAAAGGGCGTATCTGCGTAATTACGTAATTTTCCTCTTATCTAATCCACAAAAATCGAGTTGACGTTCATAATTTCATAATTTCATAATTTCATAATTTCGAAATTTCAAAATTCGGAAATTCGGAAATTTTTTGGAGTTACGACTTTTTTCCTCTACAAAAAAAAATCTCTCATCGAAAATTTCGAGTTCGCCGAAAGGGTGAGGAAGGGGTAGAAGGGGCAGAAGGGGTAGAAGGGGAGGAAGGGGACGAAGGGGAGGAAGGGGAGGAAGTGATTGTAGGGGTGGAAGGGGATGTAGTGGTACAGAAACTGAAAAAAAGGAAAATTTGAAATTGTTTTTTGGATTTTTGGGGTGAGGGAACTTCGGGCTGGCGCACCAGGGGGTTGTGCTAGGTGGAGGGATACCCCACCTCCAACTCCAGCTCCGATCAAATGAAAGGACTGGAGAGGTAGTCGTCGGTTCGACGTGTTACCGTTAACAAATACCCGGTCGTACATCTAATTTATTTATTCCCGCGAATAATCGCGAATCGCTAATCCCTTGATGAAGGCCCTACCCTGAAAAAATTAATCAAAACTCAATTACCACGTCGAACTAATCAGCGATTACAATCAAATAACAATTAGGATAATCAATCGTAAAATTTATTGGGCTGTTGAAAAACAATTGGAAAATTGAATAAATTGTTTGATGTGGGGGAAATTGGATTTTAATGAAATTAAGTGCAGGAAATATTGTGGAGATATTTTAATTGGGGAGATGGGGGAAATTGTTTGATGAGGTAATTACACAGTGAGGAGAAATGGTATATGAAAAACTCGAGGGGAATGTGATGATTGATGACAGGAAAATTTGCCGAATTTTAACCCGGAATTTTTCGTATTTTTTAAATAATCTTCTGGGATTAACAAAATGAGATAAAAGTGCGAGATGAAATCGAGTGGTGGGAGTCTGACGTATGCAACACGTGCAGCGTTTATTTTCGGGTGCTGAAATGATGTGTTAAATAGGATAAATTTCCAGGGAATTTTCATGGAGACAACCGGTGATTTCACGCGAGTGCAAAATTTTCCGTGAATTGACATTGAGAAATGGATTTGTAAGAATTTTTGTTTGTGGTGGGATGGGGCTGATGTGAAAATTCAAATGAAAATTAAGTGACTGGAGAGTGAGTGTTTTAATGTCACCGACAATGAGTCCCACTGATTGACAGGAATGGCAGATTTTCCGGCTTTTCCATATTTCTGTTTAGGTGAGTGAATTTAACGAGTAATTAAAGACTTTATGTGTCTTTTCGATATTAATCAGGCGCATGTACGAAGCCCTCGATATGCCAGATATTCAAGAATTTTCATCTCCGGAAAATGATCCCGGAAAATGTGAAAAATGTTCAGAATTCCAAAAATTTTTCCGACGAGAAAATTCCTGGAACTCCGATATATCGATATATCATAGATCTGCATGATATGATAATTTCCCTACTTTCTTTTGCGGGGCAGCTTTTCCGGGGGAATTTTCCGGACTTTCTCTTAGTCTATCCCTTTTTTTTTATTTATTTTTCATCGGGAAAAACCATTTGCCCGGGAGATTAATTGCCGCTCGTCGCTTGACCAATTTCGCCTGTGGCACGTTCTCAGGTGGGAAAACTCAACGAACGTCACGTGTCCTGGGGTTACGCGTTTCTTGATGGATATATCTGTCGACTATATCTGTATATCTATTCTTTGGCGGATAGTGAAAGCAATTTTTTCCCATGTCGCTTTTCCCCCGGTTGTTTCTCTTGTTCGCCACCTTTTGTTGTCCTTTGTACTGTCAATCGACGACACACTCTTGACGACAACTCGTTTGTCGGATTGTCGAGTGAAGGAAAATGGGAAATGGGGAAATTCCGCGGGAAAATTACTGCCGAGGGAGAAATTCCTCGGGAAATTCAGGGAAATTCCACAGGAATTGTAATGATGTTCATTTATATTTTGGAATTCTCCGGGAAAATTCTGGCGGTGAATTTTCCGGGAATTCCAGGAAAATTCATTGGGAGGAGGAATTTTCCGGGAATTCCAGGAAAATTCATTGGGAGGAGGAATTTTCCTCAGGGAAATTCACGCGCACACTGGAATGTCCGGGGAATTCTGGTGGAGCCTGCCAGGAATTATCAGGGAAATGACTTCCATCGAATTTCAGAATTCTTCAGGAAAATTCTAGTTCGAGATAGAATTTTCTTGGAATTCCCGGGAAATGTGTCCTGAGCTCAGAACGCCTCGGGAAAATTCAGGCGCTAGCTAGAATTTCTTTAAATTTTCCTCCAGAAATTTCAGAAGAAATCTCGAATTTTCCTCCAACTGGGAAAATAAAAATTGTTGGATGAGAAAATCCGCGGGAATTCATAGATTTTTTAATTCTTTTTGAGAAAACTTGGGTGAATTTATGGTAATAATTATCGAGGATCCACTCAAGCTGAGACGATAATCTTCTTCAGCAATACGATTGTCAGAATTGAAACGCAATGGGAATTCCCTGGAAACGACTCGACTGGAGACACACGTAATTGAGAGACTGAATACTTCTCTCAAGTAAATGGATATTTAGAAGAAATGAAGTCCTTTCCCGGGTGCTTTTACCCTCAGTCCTCTTTCAATTGAAAATTCATTCCATAACAGACTGTTCATACCATCGTCCATCAATTTCCTAATCACCCGTAATTATCCACTCGATAATCTTTTTTATTAAATTCACTGACAGTAATTTATTCTCAAAAAGGAAAAGGCGTGGGCAAATTATTTTTCCGTCGATTCCCAATTTCTCCGGCGAATGATAAATATTTTTATTTGTTCCCATAAATATTCCGGTGTTGGAGCGTAATTTTCACCGGGTGGAGAATATTTGGGAATTTTCGTGGAAATTGTACGTGGGAAATCATAAATTTCCCGAGTTACCAGCGGAAAATTTCCCTTTATCTCCCCAGATTTTTACGTGAGTCGCTTCATAATTTTATTGACCTTGGCCTTGTGTGAACATAAGGGATTTTTTTTTTTCCGAATTCCCAACAAATTTTTTAATTAAACAATAATTTGTAAATTTCCGGAATTTTCCGGAAGTTCAAATTAATCGAAATTAATTAAATGAAAAATTTCATATTTTCCTTTTTTTATTGCATATTTTTTTTGTTGGCTAATTAAATAATGATGATTATTTAAGCAATGAATTATCGACATGACATGCAATTGCGATTTATCCATGTGTGAATTTCATGGATTGATATTAAATTTTCCTGACAGCGAGGGAGAATAACGAAATAGTGAAATATATTTCTTCAAAAGGATGTGGCAGATGGAAGAGAGCAATGAAATATTAAAAAAAAAAAAAAGGATTTATGCGCATCCCGAGGCAAGTGATATTAAATCCTCGCGAGAAATCGAAATAATTAAACGACTCTTCATTTTATTAAAAAAAAATGAAACCCCATCGATTATCCTCTCATAAATTCGAGGGAATTATGACAACTCAATTAGGAGGAAAATTTTTAATTGAATTCCGAAGAAAATACAAGTTTGAAAAATTATTTCGTGTCTCCAACAACCGCTGGAACTCATTTCTTATGTAATTCTCAGTTATGGAAAATCAAAGTCTTGAATTCTTGGGAATAGACATTTTACTGAAATGTTACCACTTGTAGTTGGGAAAACTTCAACTGAAGAGGAAGTTTTGCCATTAAAAACCGACGACTACTTCAGAAAAATTGCATTTCGAGGGAAGGATAACGAGAAAATTTTTAATTCGTCGGGAGAATAATTAGAAAATTTATAATTCGTCGGAAAAATAATTAAAAAATTTTTCGTGTCGCGAAAAATTCCGGGAAATTATCATTATCATAAATTATATCATAGATAACAAAAAAAAAACCTCTACATGATAATAATAATAATGCTGATATAAAAGACATGAATAGTTTATATTGCATTATTTATTATTATTATTATTGAATAATTGGAAAATTTTTGTTGAAAAATCATAATTCCGGTTTTAAAATTGGGGGAAAAAAAATAAAAAAAGGGTGAATGCTCCTTAAAAAAATGTGCAGCGGTGATGAAAAGTCTGGGGAATCCGTTTTCACTGGGAATTTAGCTGCAAGGAAAGAGCAAAGTAAAAAATAAAAGCAGTAAACACCATTCCACCTCATCACCTGGAGAAATTCTTCAAAAATCAACATAAAAAAATTTTTAAAAACCACCATTTTGAGTTATTTGTCAAAATATTTGAATGAACCATCAACTAGTTCCAGTCGGTGGACCTCATACGACACAAATCCGCAAAACCCAGGAGGAGAATTTGTGGGGGCGTAATAAAATGGAAATTTACCGTATGGCATCATTTCCCACCCCTTTCCGCTTGCATCAGCAGAACCCAATCGTCAAAATGTCAATGTGGGTCATATATCGAATCGAAGGCGTAATGTCAACGTGCCACAATCGATTCCCACGTGAAAAAAAAAAGAAAACAAAAAAAGAAATAAAATACGAGAATCGGATCATGGATTTTCATACAACCCGCCAATTTTTCTCATGAAAACATCAGGGATTCCCCGAATTTAGCAGTCGATGACAGTTTCCCACATTTTTTTGAAGTCATCAATTATTTAATATTTATAATATTCAATTATTTATATTATCCCACAATCTGTCACAATGACAGCTGTCAAATAATAATATTATAATGAAAATTTCATCATTATTATTCATTATTGATTATTGATTATTGATCATTGATTGTTATTAGCTCGTGTTGTCAATTATTTTTTATTCTGATTTATAATTTTTATTTGGAGTTGGCACTTGCGTTGTTCGGGTGTCTGTAGGAATTTTCTCGATATTTTATGCACTTGTATCCGATCCCAGTTATTGAGGGAAAGTACAACCTCTCGGTGGAGCTCAACGAAAAGTTTTCCCAACGCTGAGAAATCCAAGGCAAAGTTACGAGTTATCGATCGTTTTGTTTATCTTCGATGCGTTCGTTCTATACATATTTACACGGGATTTTAACATATAGTACACTCGAGTTTCAGAGAACAAACGAATTTTTATCATTTTTTTTGTTGAACGAATTGAGTCAGAATCTCGTGAATTAATAAATTTATAATTTCATCGTTAGTCACCGGAAAATTCGGAAATTAATTAGTAATTCATTCAATTATCATTATTTAGGATTAACCGTAATTAATTGGATCGTTAGACAATTTTAAATTGTAATTATTTTTATTTTATTTTGTATTATATTCTTCTCAATTTTATTTCGAAGGGATCGATCAATTGGATTATCCTGGAATTGCAAAAGATTTGGAAAATGAGAAAGGAATAATTCTCTTCAATGGATTCAGGACTCCGCAGAAGTTTGTTTGCACCACTTAAAACTCCGTACGATAGTTGAAATTTCGTATTTGCTTGTAAAGTTTGAAGTCATCCAGTAAAAGTAATTGCACCCGCACTTTCAATCGCCATAAAATTCACAGGAGAGCAGTACTCCGTGTTTCGAATAATTCAGTCTCATTATAAGGCCTGAGTAACGCCTCAGTCTAATTAAAATACACTCAGACAATTGCGTTCAATTGTCCCTCATCCACTACCCCATCGAACTCAACCTATAAAGCAATAAAATTACAGAAACAAGAAAATACTATTTGTATTGTCAACCCATTTTTTTTTTCACTCTTTACTTTTTTTATCACCCGATTTGCAAGTGAGAAATGGTACATCTGGATTTTCACTTATTTCGGGACATAAAAGGAGTATAAATTCATCGAAAATTGCCAGTCATTTCCGCGTGGTTCCATTTATTTGGGAATCGAAGTACTTGAATTTTATCTGAACTCTGGATAATGTTGTTGCATTTTCCTAGATGAGAATTGAATAATTTTTCATCGATTGATGAGTCGAGACATTTTTATTTAAAACTCTTCCGCAACCTATGCGGTGGACAAATAGGTCATTGCGAATTCAAGACTATTTATTAAAAGTTGGCCTTGAAGTTGAGTTTATCTCGGTCTATCATACTTTACTATTCAATTATGCACGCATCTTGAGGAATCAGGGAACTAGGGCACCGGATGTCAGAGTAAGATTCAGCTTTTTTGTTATAAAATGGGATTTCCTCGTCTCAGGAGAAAAAGAGGGAGTGGATAATTACTTTCTTAAAACACGGTAGATGGATTTTTGGTGGTTAATTAGGATCGCTCAATTTTAATGTTCAGCGTGACCTTCA